TCCTGCTGAGGACTGCAAACAAATCCTCAACATTAGCCTCACAAACAGGCAGTTTTGTGGACACCTCCAGGAGGCTGTAGACCATCAACTGGCTGGAGGAAGCTTTTTAGCTACTGAGTATAAAGGCACATGGTTTCTGACTGGTATCCTGGGACCTTGGCCACTAGAAGACACTGCCTGGGAAACACTTCTATTCACTAACACTGCAAGGTATATAATATGGTTTAAACAAAAAATGAAGTAAGTCACAAACACAGCCAACCCTCCAGCACCAAACCCCTGCCAGTCACTGCAAGGAAACCTTTGGAAGCAGCCAGTGCATCCATTTGACTCTATCATGATTTGCAGCCATGGAAATTGCAATAACATGTATATAACTCCAATTCATACATAAAAGTCTGTTTGTCCTTCCTTCTTCTGCTTACACAGTACTGTGAAAGTCATGGTGTGGCAAAAAGAGTTATTTTACTAAAAAATGACTGAACTTTAGGTTTCCTAGAAATATTAATCCAGCCTTTCTGGAATTTTAAATGTTGCTTGAAAGAAAAGCCTTTTAAACTCTTGTTACCCTGAGGTTTGATTCAGCAAATTCATATTCTTATTTCAAAATCTATACAAGTAAAACTTACGAAGACCAGGGGAACTCCAAGCCTTTGGATGCCTGTGTTGATGTAGAACTTGACACTCTCATCACACTGAAAAATGCTTCCTCTCATACATGGGACCTGTGTTCTCCCTATAAATCACATCCATGTCTGTTAGTGGGTAAAATAAAACTGAACTCTAAAAGAGGAGAAAAAAAAATCTTTTATTTCCTTTTAAAATAATTTAAAAAATCCCAAACTACCATCCGATGACTATGGAAAAAAAATTCATTGTACCACCCCCAAAAAAACAAAAGTCTCAGGACAGTAACATTTAAAATAATGTTGCAGTGTCAGTGTCAGTTGCAGTGTCTTCCCCAGAAGCAGAAAAAAACACACAAGTATGGATAAGTTATTTAGATAAGCTTTTGTACATCATAACAAAAATGAAACTAAATGTTACCAAAATAGTAATTAGAAAAATCCAAAAACCCCAACTCATCTGTGGACACCTGAAGACAAAAATCCCATCTACCTGAACCCGTAATTATCACTGACACAGTAAAGCTTTTAGAGTAAAGCACTTAGTTTTTAGAGAAGGCTTGAAGAGAGTGTTGAGTACCAGCAAGATTACTGAAGTGACTTGGAAATGGAAACCATGAAAAAACCCCATCATTTCCACTCTGAGGAATGGATGAACACCAGTAACTTCACCCCTCTGAAAGATAAATGCAGAAATAATAACACAAAGTACTTTAATAAAAGCTTTTAAAGTACTTTGGAAGGAATTTGGAATGTTTTGCTGTATTTCATCATGAAATCCTTTTAATGATCAAGAAAGCCTGTGGAAGCTATCACTGCAAAGTTGGCATTTCATTCCAATGCACTTTGTAACACTGGCAGCCTTGGTCATTCTGGGAAAGGAGCCACAAACAGTTCCTGGTATTCCAGTCCTGGACATGAACGAGGTCATTTACAATGTTCTCAGGGTGATAAGGAGCAGGTCCACTGGGCAAGCTGAGCATCTGAAAAGTTACCTGCATGGCTAAGAATCAATATTCAACACACTGTTGACAGTGGAGGAAAGGGATTCTGCTTACTGACCACAAGCTTTTGATGCTGATGAGATATATAGCCTTTAATGTGACCCTGGCAGAAGGAGAAAAAGACAGTGTTAGTCCTGGAGTCCTGGAAGCCAGTAATACAATGCTGATAACCTCAGCTACCTTCAGACTACACAGAACAAAGCTGTGTGTGCATACTCAATCACCTCTGCACTGCTGTACCAAGAACCCAAAGTCTGTAGATGTGTCAGCTCACAGAGCAAGCGGGAAGTTGGAAGCCCAGTGGTGTTTGGCACTAACGGTGCTGCCAGACAGAGCCTGCTGCCACGGCCTCTTCCTGCTCTGCTCACCTTGCCGTGAAGAGATAAAGCTCTAAGGAAGTGTTTCTAAATTTACTCTTACTCACTTTAAAATTAGGATTTTAATTCATCACTATTCTATACCTAGTCAACCAAATGACAGCATGTCCTTTTCAGACATACTGTTGTAACTGAAAGATTTCTTTAAGTGACCTAATCCCACCCTCTGTTACTCCTAGAACACATCAAAAATATCTATTTCAGGAACAGAGAAGTGGTTCATTTTGTTGCTGACACTGCAAAGCTGCTTCAAAAACCTCAAATTTATTAGAATTCTACTGATTTCAAGACTGTATCTGTTTGTGAATTGTTGAGATCCACTTAGAGACAAAACGTGAAACAAAACCAAAGAAATCTGTTTTTAATTTTTTCTATGGTTAGAATATCAAGAGTCTTCTATTGCAAATGCAGAACAGAGCCCTTTTGGTCCCAGTTACAGTTTTTCTATTTTTAAATCAGTATTTATGCATATATAGAAACATAAAGTAAAACTCAACCTCAATTTTACCTGATTCCTGCATAAGAGGCAGGAACTAGAGGAAACCCTTAGGACAAATGAAACTATTTCACTTTGGGCACAAGTGAATTAACTTTTTTTACACAAGAGAACCTGAGATTACTGATATATGATTATTATGATTATTATTATTATTATTATTGTTATTATTATTACTACTATTACTATTATTATTACTTTACTCACTTTAAAATTAGGATTTTAATTCATCACTATTCTATACCTAGTCAACCAAATGACAGCATGTCCTTTTCAGACATACTGTTGTAACTGAAAGATTTCTTTAAGTGACCTAATCCCACCCTCTGTTACTCCTAGAACACATCAAAAATATCTATTTCAGGAACAGAGAAGTGGTTCATTTTGTTGCTGACACTGCAAAGCTGCTTCAAAAACCTCAAATTTATTAGAATTCTACTGATTTCAAGACTGTATCTGTTTGTGAATTGTTGAGATCCACTTAGAGACAAAACGTGAAACAAAACCAAAGAAATCTGTTTTTAATTTTTTCTATGGTTAGAATATCAAGAGTCTTCTATTGCAAATGCAGAACAGAGCCCTTTTGGTCCCAGTTACAGTTTTTCTATTTTTAAATCAGTATTTATGCATATATAGAAACATAAAGTAAAACTCAACCTCAATTTTACCTGATTCCTGCATAAGAGGCAGGAACTAGAGGAAACCCTTAGGACAAATGAAACTATTTCACTTTGGGCACAAGTGAATTAACTTTTTTTACACAAGAGAACCTGAGATTACTGATATATGATTATTATGATTATTATTATTATTATTATTATTATTGTTATTATTATTACTACTATTACTATTATTATTACTATTACTATTATTACTATTATTATTAACAACAACTTTGATTCTCCCCCTAATGTTTTTTACTGTCTGAAGTCCGGAATAACCAGACAACAACTGGTCAGCACATACCATGTATATAAGGTTAGCTAAAATGCACTGGACTTCATCAATATCAACATCATCTACTTGCATGAATTTCAGGGCATACAGAAAGGCATCCAGAGATAGCTGATGGGTTTTAAGTAGTAAATATCTGAAAGAAACAACAAGAAAATATCTGTTAATGAGAAAAAAATTACTTTAAAATTCTGGTTCTTAGAAAAATGGCCCTTCTACAATAAATTGACATTAGCAGGAATCTAGCTATTGCCAGGAGAACTAAGGAGCATATCTGTTTCTCAATCCTATGTGAAACCATATTAAATTTTTTTGCAAAAATGGAGATTTTGTTATGCTTACACTTTCTTAAAAAGATTTCTGTATGTGATGATTTTCAGCTTCTCAAGGATAAGAAAGATTCCACACCGAATAAAGAAGGTTTCGTGCTTTGTCAGAGCATCATTCAGTAGGAGAAGATTGCCTTCACTACAAGGATGAAGAAATAAAAACATGAGAAGGTCTCACCCAAACACAAAAAAAATTGCCAGACTTGGTAGAAATATCCCTCCCCTGCCTTCCTCAGTCATTCCAAATGAATGCATTTTACTTAATACTTTTTACATAGCGCAATAAAACCATCATCATACCTCACAGCCTTGGTTACTTCAGCAAACTGCATAAGGTCATACTTTTTTAAGAGCTGAATTGTTGGCATATGGCCCTGAAAAAGAAATGGTTTACAAGTTTTCCAAGGTAATGTCAAATGCATTTTACAGGTAATCCAGTTAGCTATAAAAACATTCATTAGAAAGAAAGACAAGTATTTAAACACTTTTTTTTTTCCCTCCAGAACAAGAGGTATTTGTAAGACAACTCCCTTGCCCCCATTAAGCACCTTGTAGTTCAACTCAAGGGAACTACCTATGTATCACAGTTTAGGGACTCCTAATATTTCTTAATGTTGAAGAAAAGTTATCAAACTTGTAAAATCAAGATCTTGTGACATGAGGCCCCTAGGCAGATCAAAATTTTATATCATGGTTGTATGACAACATGCAAACAGAAGAACTGCAGGAATCCCAAGCATTACTAATAATACAAGCAGTGCTTCAGCCCTGTCAAGTGCTAACTCAGTCTGTACTAGATTTTTTCTTCACTTTGCATCTGTGCAGAAATAAAAAAGACCTTTCAAAAAACAACAAAAAAAGAAAGTTGAAACACAGAGATGCAAAATCAATTTTCATTGCTAGATGAGGTAATACTGAGCCACCTACACTATCAAAAAGAAACTTTGTTCTTTCCCCCTGCACAGCAGGGTTCAGATTGCTCGCTGACTTGGGTCAGACTTTAAATTTAGTTACCATCATGCTATGCTGTTGGTAACTCCTTTCCTGGTTGGAGGATTAGCTGAGAGCAGAACTCAGCTGCATGTTTACTGAGAGCTGCTAGGAATAAAACAACCCAAACATCCAAGCTATTTTAGAAGTGTTTAAGGTTAGTGTTAATGTTTGGGCTCTGTTAAAAAAATGCAACTGTAAAAACAATGAAATTTATCTAGTTTCTTTAGTCCTTGTACACTATAACTGCTACAGAAAAGCTACAGTAATTGTAGGCAGTAATGGACCCAACTGGTTCAAGTGACCCAGTCAGGACTGAGACAAAGTTTTTAGGAAGACTGTCAGTTTTTCCTTGATCAATGTTACTATTGATTGATCAGAAAACAACCAGTAAGAAAGTCAATAAAAACTGAAATACAGAAGGCAATTTTCAAACCCACTATGTTTCCCCTTTATCTCCTTGACACTACAAGGCATGGGAAAGGGAGCACTGAAAAGGAAAGGATGGTTATAAACAGGTTGGGGTAAAGGCAGAAGATGGCAACTCACAAAAGCAGGGCATAGCAACATTTTCCATGGGTAACTTTGTTAACAGGGCCAGGACTGGGAAACTAAAATTTAGTTCTTGTCCCCTCAGTTACATTGGATTGCTAGCATATCCCCACTAACTCAGGGATACACAAATGCACAGTACATGGGAAAGCACAGGATCAGGAAGCAGAGAGGTATTTAATTCTTTCTTAACACAGGGATGAAAGGATCAAATAGTAACCAGTCTTCATTGTTTTTCTTAAAAGTAAAATGTTCTACTTCATGACCCTTATGACAAGGTGCAAACAGAAAATCCAAAGACAGGGATCCTTTCTCTCCTGTGACAAAACCCCCTCAACAGTCTTCAGCCATCTGTACGCACATTTTCTTTCTCTTCACCAGGTAAAAGAAGCACACAGATTTGTATTAGGGAATTCGTACTTTTCCCTGCCCATCTGTGCCGCTGATCACCAGACATGCACTCTGCTACATAAGTTACACTGCTAAGTGCTTCTCCAAAGAGCTCTAAGTTACCTTTATCACCAAAGTAGCCTCATGTTGCACTGTTAGGAGAGACGGGAGGAAGGCAGGGGGAAAGGAGGGCGAGGTTTTTGTTTGGGTTTTGGGGTTGGGTTTTTTTGTCCCCTTCTCCCTTCCTCTGTTGCTATAAATGACAATTCAACACTTTCTGTTCTCAGACTACAAAGTGTGCACATACTGGCTCTTATGGGGGTCAGACATAGATAGCCTCAGAACTCCAATAGGGGAAAAACAAGAACTACACTGAGCATCATTTCAGTTATATGTCAAAAAAATTATTTAGAAGAGCAACATCTACTCACCAACAACATTTTTACTGGCAGCAGGTAGATCAAAATCATTCTTTTGTTCTTCTGGCTGGAGCGGTGACAGTGCTCAAAGGCAAATGAAAGATACTCTTCAGCTGCAAAGACAAAAGTTCTAGTAAACTGAGTCAACAACAAAAATGGATTAAAACTGTAACCCAAATCCTGTGCTTAATATCCACCTCTAGCTTGAACACGTGATATTTTAAATTGTCTAAAAACTAATCATATCATCAAAATACATTAAGAAAAATACTGTAGTAATTATTGGAGATTCACACTAAATACAAAGTAGTACCAGAAAAATAAGTCCTCCTTCAGAAAATCAAAGAAAACTTGTCAAGGTCTAGATGTCAGAGGTAACAGTTACAAGCAACTTTGGAATTTTCAGCTGATTTCAGTAATATTACAGTGCTACTGCTGCAGAGGGGAGAATCTCAAAAAGCACTGATGAAAGAGAACTCCATTTTCTAAATTCACAGATTAGGTTCTTCAGAGGACATAAACTGTGTGTGATGCACACACCTCCTGAACTGCAGAAACTTGAGAGATCACATGGCATGACAACATGAAAATCTCTCATCAGTTTTCACCAAGAGCCTGACAGTCAGAAGACCATGTTTAGAGTAACAAAACTGGCTCCAGAACAGATCTTGGTCAGAGGCTTTAGTTAGTGATGAAAGTTTCACACCTTAACTCTAGAATTATCTCTATTAGTGAGTAAGAAGCCTCAGAAATGCCATTTCTGCATCTTCCAAAATCAATGCACTGAGAAACTAATTCTACAGTACAGTTTGCTGAAGATTTTCTACATGGGTATACACCAACTTGAAGAGGACAAGACGGCTGCAAAGCCTCCACTGTGAAACTTTTTACAAACCTATTATTTTGGATGCTCATGCATTGTATTATGCATGCACAAAGTGCATGAGACTACAGAGAACTGCACTGACAAGTATTTTAAAACTGGGCATATACTACAATTAGAAGCATCATGTAATCTCGTCTCTGATCTGACTCAGCCTGTGGGCCTTGGATCTTTCATTGTGACTTTTCCTTTGATCCATGCAAACACAACTGCACCTTTACACACAAGAGCAGCCAGATTTCACATCAAGCAGCAAGACTTTAAATTTGTCTTATGGGCACACAGTACCTTGCTTAAAGTCACTGTCAAACATGGCTTTGCGTCCAACATAGTATCTGTATGTAACTCTCTGTGCCATACTATATTCATCCTTCAGATTTGAGCTGTCAATTGCTCTAATTAAGGGCTTACATAGATGGAGCTTGTTGATCTATCAAAGAAAAAGAATTGCATTTTACTCAGAGAGTGTAGATACACAGTATCATACTAAAAAAGGTGGGTTTGATTTAAGACTACGAAATACAAAACATAGCTGACCAAACTTGAACCCTACCTTAAAATAAATTTTGAACAGTTGATTCACAAGAAACAGCATGCCCCACTTTTTGGAATCTTCAATGCCTGCTCGACTGTCACAAGAAAAGAATAAAAATATTACTACTGCACATTGTAAGAAATAATTACTTTATCTTCATGGTAAATTCTGTTCGTAAACATTTAATGGATTTCTAGGGTAAAAATAGATGTCTGAAAATAAAAGTCAAGACCAAACTCCTTATCCTAAACCATAACAGCACTGGACAAACAGAACATATGTTCCCATCTTAAATTTTATACAGCTCTGCTTCATTTTTTCTCAACATAATGAAAAGATGTCATGAAAAATATTACTCATATATATCAAGGTCCTCGCTCCAGGCTGCAGTTAACACATACACCAGTATAGCAGTTGTTTATAATATTCAAGGTGAAAGAAAGATGTGGGGGTAGGAAAGAAAAAAAAAATAACCAACCAACCATTTTCTTCACTTTGGAAGTACTAAAATTGCTGAGACTGGAAACCAAAGTCATTCCTTTTCTTTCTAACTGCACCAAAGCAAACTTCACAAATGAACAGAGCTCAAAAGCATTAATGATACTTCCTGAGAAACAGGGACATACATAATCAGTCCCTCCCAACATCTGCTAAGAATGTTGAACCTGAAGGGGGGCCTCCACCGCTGTAGTCAACAGTCAACAGACTATAAATGACAGGAAACAAGCCTCAGAAGTGTCCATTCTTACCCAGATATAGTCTTAGTAAGTGGAAAAATGCTACGTTCTTAAAAATCTAATAATGCAAGTTCTATAGAGGATCTTTCGCTTACGTGTCACTGGCACAGACTCGAAAACAGCTCATCAGCAGTTCTGCTGCTTTTTCCAACATGTCCCCAACCTTGCTTTTCCCTTTCTTCACCAGCTGTTGATCTGCCTATCATTACACAGCAAGAAACAATGTGTAATTCTACATGCTGGATCTCTGGGTCTAAACAGTTCAGTTCTATAATACAGCATTTTATAAAGTCTTGTAGCAATGTATTTCTCATGCCTGCTCCCTCCCATATCTAAAGGTAGTCCA